CCAAAGTATTTTATAGATCTAATTCCTCAACTGTTCATTTAATTTCTTACCCGATTCTCAACCGATTTCAACAATTCGCACCTTAATATTATAATGTCATATGAGACATATATTATTACGTTGGGATAATGTCACTTCATCCCTCATGTCCCAAATATGTGAATTACCTATCTAGGGTTTAAGGTGACCTCGATTAGCCGAATGGAAAGCTTGAACCTTCGTTGATACAAATTTTCGGACTTTCAAATATTACATTACTTACCAAGCCAATCTCCAACATTTAGTTAATCTAACTTTCTATCATAACTCAATATAAAATTCACCACCTAGATCGAAGAGTCGAAGGTTATCACCATGTAAAGATTTTAAAGCCTTGATAATCAAATGCATCGTTTTAAGAGAAGGCAATCAGGAAATTGATACAAATGACAATGTAATTAGCATGGAACGCATGAATCATATTGGCCAAATATAGAACGTGAAGTTCGGGGTATTACAATGTGATTCTTCATATCGAACCTTACATAAACTATATAAATAAAATTATCATTTTCTGAAATCAAGTATGAAGAAATGAAATCAGAAATAAGAAAAAATTAGATGCAAGTGATGCTATTGGCCGAGGCGATTATAACTATTTCCTTAAAATGAATTTGTCCCGCATCGGTGCTAACAATTTTTCGACAATCATCTCCCAAGATACAACGACCACGTCGAGCCATAGGAGCACTCCAAATAACTTCGACCAGCGAACTCGAACGGAATTCACTCTCTATCAGGGAAATGCATGAAAATGCTATGGAATTAGAAATGAAAGAATTGTAAGAGGAGAATGAATGCTCAATGCAATTAATGTACCCAAAACCATGTCATAGGATTCTATTTATAAATGTAGAAAGGGTGCAAATGAAGTAGTGTGGGCCAAAACATGCATCATTTCAAAAAGTTGCAACACTTAGTCAAAACCTGCATCCTTTCAAAAAGTTACAACACTTCATTTCTTTCAATTTTGGTCTGCAATTTCTTATTCATCCGGAATTGGTTTCGAGATTTCAAATATACCACGACGATCTACTCGACGAATAGAATAAATTGGTCTATTTACTTTTGTAATTTGACAATTGGATCAAACCTGAATATTTGGTCAAAGTTGACACGTAATCACACCTTTTCATTTTTTACTTTTACACAGCTTTTTATTTTCCAATATTTTGTTAATTATTTGAAGCAATTCCTACAGACAGCATATGAGTTCATAGTTCCAGATTTTGGATCAATAATATTATCAGCTTTGGCCCATTCTTTCACCTGCACGTGGAGATTCACATGATCATATTACAATGTATGCTTGTAATGCTTGATGTTTGACAGAAAATGCATTCTCACGCATGACGCATTTTGGAGCTTTGGTCTTTATTATGACTCGTAGAAAATATATTAAGAGCATGTTTGATTCTCATTAATTGGGAATAAAATGAGTTTCAAATAGTATTTTTTACGAACGTGTATGGTTAAGATATGGAAAAAAATTTGATATACATGTAGAATATTTTAATGTGTGAATTGTTGATGATCTTGCAACAAACCATAAGATAAATAATGGGTGTCAATAGGCACTAAAGTACGAGATTTCACGACTACAAATGAATATAATAGTTATACTACGTTGGTGATTATTGATCTCTACCCGATGTATTGAGCACTAGAGCCTTCAATTAATTCTGTTGCGAGGTTTAAGATTGGAGAAAGAAATGATAAATTTTCATGACTTCCCCCGTCAAGTCCTCAAGCTTTTGCGTATTTAATATGCATATGTTTTAAAAAGAAATGTTTTAAATATAAATGTTGGAAATATTTTGTGCTGTGATTATTCTCAAACAGTCATTAGAATTTACCCTTCCATAAAAGGTTTGTGGAAATTCGAGAGTGATACGTAAGTTTAAGAAAAAAATTATTTGATAGCAAGATTTAGTTTTATAGTAATAAATATTATTTATCCTTAGATTCCCAACTGGCCTATTAGCTCAGTTGGTTAGAGCGTCGTGCTAATAACGCGAAGGTCGCAGGTTCGAGACCTGCATGGGCCATTTTCCGCACTGTTGATTTTGAGATTCCATTTTTGGGTTTTCTGGCAGACTTAAAATGGGCTTCTTGCACATGAACTGGGCTTTGTACACTTTATTTTCCTTGCAGGCTTTTAATGGGCTTTTTATAAAAAAAAATAGTCATTTGACATTTCTACTAATCAATTTTTTTCCGTGGTAATTACAACTAGAAGAAGTGAAGTCTTAAAATAAAAGTTTTCTTTTTCTTTTGAATGAGAATAATATAAATTGAGATAGAAATTCTCCCATACAAGTATAAAAAGTGATGGTAATATATTTATTTCTTAAATACAAATATATAAAGAAAAGAAGAAGATTTTTATCTCGATACATGTAAAGGGAGAATTTCTAGTCCTCCATATAAAAATGAACATACAATATTAATAAAATATTCAATACTATAATAATTATTTTTTAGAATATGAAATATTAATTTTTATTAATACTTAAATATATGGTTTTAGTGAAAATGTGTAATTAAGATGCGAAATTTGTATTTAGTGAGGTGGATATGAATATGGAAAGGGTAAGTAATTCCTAATTATTAGGAGTAATTAGTAATTTTTTAAGATTAATGGATAATTTAAACCTATTTTAAGTTTTTTAAGATTAATTGATAATTCTTTCATCTTCAACTCTTTCCTTTCTAATTGTTGATCACATTTAAACAATTTTTTCTTTTCAATTTATTGTCATTTGTATTTAAATAGTCATATTATTTATTATATTAATTAAACATGCAATTTATATTCTTTGAATGAAAATATTGACAATGTTATATAAGAATAAAATGGTAAATTGAACGTTTCTAATCTATCTCCACATTTTTTTATTTTTATATAAATTGTGGTTATAACATAATTATATAAGTAGATAAACATTGATTTTAAGTGAACTTGCGTATATAAATAATAAATAATATAGTACACATACATGCACGTATAAAATAACATTATAATATATTAAATGTGATATTAATGATAGATTAATTATAATTTAACTCTATGTAGTCTCAATTTAAGTAGAAAGTCACTGACATACTGGAGTACTCATAATTTTGTATTAACTAAATAAAGTTTAATCACTTAAAATCGAATCTTGTCTATGTATATTATGTTATATTATAATTAATCTATCATTATATTAACGTAACATTTAATATATTATATTATATAATTATAATAAAATTATATATATGTGTGTGTGTTTATGGAAGAGAGAGGGAGAGCGCTTCGATTTTAAGTAGTAAACTTACGGGTAATTAATACAAAACGTCCATACATTTCAAGGTTTTTGTGGAAAACGTTTCTACCTTTCATTTTTTGGCATTTTCACCTCTACCTTCCGCCTTTCATTGTGCAAAATGTCATTTTCATCCGTTTTGACAATTTTACCCTCCTATTCAAATAAAACAAAAAGAAAAAAAAAAGAAATAAAGAATTAATTGCAACAATAATTCCAAATTTTCAAAAAATAATGTAATTTAAGTAATTAAATATAAGTTGATTACTGTAAATTTCTAAGTTCTCCAATATAAAACAATAAACATCATTTAAATGGATATCAAATGAAATTATATTATATTAAATGGTAATATATTAAGCCCTCGTTTAACCCCATTAATTTTCATTCCATTTCATTCCTTTTTTCTCACTTCTGTTTTCAATCACATAATCTTCTATAAAATAATATTACACGTAAATCGAAAAATTTTCATTTTTTTTCAACCACCCATTTTTTAATAAAATTACCATTCCACCCATTTTCATTTTCACAAAATGGGGGCCAAACGGAGGCTAAATTTATAATGGTAGAATTGACATATAGCTCAATACATATGCGTAAAATTGGTATTAAAAAATTTCTAGTCAATATGCACTTTTAATAAATTGTAGATGTAGATAATTTGATTAAACAAATATCATAACAATTAGTACTTATTTTTCATTGCTATATTTCATATCGTGATGAGCACATGTTTGATTGTCATTATTTGGGATTTTCAATAATTTGAAAAGTGAATTTTTGGAAAATATGTGATTAAAAAGTATGAATACGGGCAAAACATTTTATTGTGCGAATTTGTGGTTGAAAATGAGTACTTAGTTCTTGCTCGATCCTTCATTATTTTTAAAATACAATTTTCACATTATTCAATAAAATAATATTACACGCAAATTGAAAAAATTTCTTATTTTTCAACAACACATTATTCGTCAATTTACTATTTCAAAATACATTTCTAACAAAAAATAAGGATTGTACATGCGCTTAAAAAAAGAGAATTTTAAAATAAAGGAGGTCAAATGGGGGTTAAATTTTGATACTTCTGCTTAGCAGCACTAAGCTTATGACCCCCTAGGCTGACAATCGGGCTCATCGTTTCGAGTCGCCCTGTGGCTCGACCAGAAAAAGGGGAGTTGGCTCGAGCTCGAGACGACCCGTTGAAATTTAAAAGAAAAAATAAATAAAGAAATCTCCTAAGCTACCTGTTGAGGCAGTAGAAACGCAGCTATAAAGCTGCCTGTTGAGGCAATTGTTGGTAGCAAAAGAAAAATTCGATCAGGCTTGGCTCGCCCCGACAAGGCTTGAGTCGAAAGCTCGGGTTTCGAGTCAAGCCTTAATTTTTTGGACGAGCTTTTGCTCTCGAGTCGAGAGTTTCGATTTGCGAGCCGACTCAACGTGACTCGTGACACCCCTATGACCCCCTCATATGAGGAGGGGGCTGTCATTCTTACTGTACAGTGTACAACAAGCATAGCCCGCTAAATTTATATGTTTAGTTTCTAGCTCTAGAATCTTGATTAAAGATTAAGCCCCCGTTTGGCCTCCCAATTAAATTACATCTTATTTTTCTCTCTTCTATTTTTAATCATACAATTTTTCATAAAATAATACTACATATAAATCGAAAACTTTTTCTTCTTTTTAATCACTCATTTTTCCAAAAAACACTATTCCACTAATTTTCTTTTCAAAAAATGTGGCCGAACGAGGTAACCAAAACAAATGAATTAGCCCAAGAATTTTGATTTAAAAATACAATAAATAAATAATAAGGGAGTGAAGAGACGACACATGCATAAACAACATCGTCAAGAGCCCCCAGTTTCACAGACCTCTACAATTGTCAATTCGATAAGCCCATCTTCTATTTCTTCATCAAAATACCCATCAATCAATCTTCCTAAAATCATAATCCCAACTCAAGAAAATCAGCAAATTTATCAGATGGGTTTACTGGATTTGGAAAAACACTTTGCTTTCTACGGAGCATACCACAGCAACCCAATAAATATTTTTATTCATATGTTGTTCGTTTGGCCAATCTTTTTCACTGCTCTTGTTCTTTTCTATTTTACACCTCCTTTATTCAAGAATTCCCCAATTGTTTTGTCTGATCATATTGTATTGGTCTTCAATTTTGGGTTCTTTGTCACTGTAATTTATGCCTTGTTCTATATGAGTTTGGAGAAGAAAGCTGGCTTTTTGGCTGCTTTGCTTTGCTTTTTCTGTTGGGTTGCAAGCAGTTCTGTTGCAAATCGTCTGGGATATTCTTTGGCTTGGAAGGTAATATATTGCTTTTCTGTTTTGTTGATGAATTATCAGTTGTAACTAGTATTACTTGTTGAAATTAATCTGTTTCTGTTTTATCCATGAAAATAAATCAAATTCGGATTATGTTACAAATAAGTTGTACGTGGATACTAGAGTTATGATAAAGAAAAGGAATTAAGGAAAGACCAAGGTTAATGGCAATGGATAAACAAAGGAGAGAACTGATAAATCATATAGGCAGACATCAATAGACATGATTTTGTGGCTTAATATTATCACACGCTATCGAATTTTAACTCCTTTTGGCATTGAAAAGATGTGTACTGTACAACTATGATAGGTTCAATAATAGAAGATTTTAGTTCTAAAGTCTTGATTTGTAGACCTTTTCTGTACTCCTTTATTGTTACCTGTCTAAGCACACTACGAGACTCTTCACTCATCGGAACACTTGACCAGTAATTTAGCGCATAGCTTTAACATCATTCTACAACCTATATGCATTTCCCTTTATTCAAATTTTTGCTCCCGATGGTTGATAGCTTTTATGTATATGGGAGAGTGTAAGTGAATAATGATTAATTCAAATAGTTTTCTATTACGACTTTAAAATTTACACGGTAAATGTACAGATGAAAAGAATTGTATTGCTCCTTTATTAACTTATAAGAGCACCCCCGCTTATCTCTTCATTGCACTTTAATCATCAAATCCTTTTCATGAAAATAGACGGTATAGATAATTACAAGGTTCTATTAGTTCTTGTGGTCTAAAACATTCACAGCAAATTTGTCCACATGTTGAGAGTATTTGATTATCTAATTGTGTATTCTGTTTATGGATGCTCTAGAGATGACCTTACCTTCTTCATAACTCATTCACTTTTTGAAATTTTTAGTTTACCCATGATTGGAAATTGAAGTCCATGCTTATGATTTCAACTTCATAAACATCGTATATGGTGATTTCAATTTTCAGGCGCTCTGGTTCTATTCTTTTCTCTTTGAAATGTAAAGTTGACTTCTGTGCTTTCGAACTACAAATTGAAATTTAGCCATCTGAATTATTTTGTCGTGTTTTTCTAATGATGGTGTTAGATGGAATTTGTTGTGTTATATGAGTAGCAGGAGTTATTTGAAATGACACAGGTTATCTGGAATTATCTGAAAAATTTTGTTACACAATCACTTTTAAGATGTTTAGTCGTAAACAATGTGTGGTTTGATACTGATGGTGACTGTAATTTTATCAGGTTGTCCTGGCATCTCAGATATTCTGCTGGACTGGACAGTTCATAGGCCATGGCGTATTTGAGGTGATTACTCTCATTGTATACTATCGCTTATATACTCTTTTCATTTTTCTTCTTTATTACATATAGCGTTTCAATTTGTAGAAACGAGCACCTGCTCTTTTAGACAACCTGGCTCAAGCGTTCCTGATGGCGCCTTTCTTTGTACTGCTGGAGGTAAATTTTTCAGTTCCCTTGAAGCATGGAATTTTCTTGTTGGTTATTATATGTTAATTTTTGTTACTAAGAGATATCTGTTCCTCACAGGCTCTGTCATTCTTTGGCTATGAACCATACCCAGGGTTCAACGCTCGGGTTAAAGCAAAAATTGATGCTGAAATCAAAGAATGGAAGGAGAAGAAAAATTCCTGAATTGCACAAGTTCATACTGAAATAGTACACTTTCTGTTCCCTACTCTTATGCATCGTTCACATACACTTCTGTTGTATCGTCTCAGAATGTCTATATATTAAATCGTGTAACAAACACCATTGTGTGATTTCATACAAAAGTGTTATGCTCAAAGTATTCTCCCAGCTTATGAAAGCATGATGACGAGCAGCTCGACAATCAGTTCCAACCACACTTGGCGTGCAGTTTGATGGTTGAGCTGTCTAGTCAATTGAGTTATATTTGTCTCGAGTCATAAGGACATCATTTCAAACTAGTGCTGAATCCATGGACAGACAAGAGACAACTTGGTGAACTGAAACAACATAGCAATCAGAGGAAAATAAAACAAAAGAAACACAAATGAAGCGTGGATAAAGAATAACACATTGATCGATGATCATGAAGTGAAAACCCGCAGATAATCAATTCAAGATCAAGAAATATGAAGAAAATGTTCTGTGTATAAGTTTTAATTAAAATCGAGCAAGTCATACAATGAAAGGGAAAGTGTTTAAACACCAAATCCTAGAAAGGGATTAGGAAATAACTAAACTACCTTAAATAAAATGGTAGTAATGTAGAGTAAACATAAATGTAATCAAACAACTTAAAAGCACCCAGTTGAGTCCCACGGTTCAACCTTCACTTGACGACTGACACCTTCTTCAGGTGTTTGCCATGTTCCCACTTGGTCAGATAAGACGAAGAGGTCTCATCTCCATCAAAAAGTGATTCCCATCATTGCGATGAGTGAAATGAGAGAAGCCTAAATGGCGAAAACGGAGTTGTTGGAGATCAATACATCACTAGTTTACGCTTTGACTCGAGTAGCATGAAATAATTGTCATGAAGTTCCTCTCCCCATTTTCATATATGGGGAATGTGCACAGTAAGTTCGTGGAAGAACGCCAATTGAGGTCCGATTCTTCTTCGGGTGTTGGAACAATTCTCGGCCGAGGTTTTAATCTTGGAGGAGCCCAATAGAACTGTTTCCAGGCTTTTTGTTTCTGAATTCCCCTATCTTGCATCAATTTCCTCCCTTCCATCATATAATTCATCTGGCCTGTGCCAGCATGCATGTTAGCAAGAAGAACATAGTCACTGCTATGATCTGGCTTCACCTCAAGAAGATGCCTTCTTACCCGTTCTCCTAGTTCCACATTGCCATGCACCCTACAAGCAGCCATGAGTGAAATGAGAGCAGCCTAAATGGCAAAAACGGAGTTGTTGGAGATCAATACGTCACTAGCTCACGCTCTTACTCGAGTAGTATGAAATTATTGTCATGAAGTTTCTCTCCCCGTTTTCGTAAAGGCGGAATGTGCACAGTAAGTTCGCGGAAGAACACCAATTGAGGGCCAATTCTTCTTCGGGTGTTGGAATAAGTTCCCGGCCGATGTTTTAATCTTGGAGGAGCCCAATAGAACTGTTTCCAGGCTTTTGTTTCTGAATTCCCCTATCTTGCATCAATTTCCTCCCTTCCATCATATAATTCCACTGGCCTGTGCCGGCATGCATGTTAGCAAGAAGAACATAGTCACTGCTATGATCTGGCTCCACCTCAAGAAGATGCCTCCTTACCCGTTCTCCTAGTTCCACGTTGCCATGCACCCCACAAGCAGCCAACAGTGTTCTCCATACGATTGCATTGCATTCTATTGGCATGCCCGTTATCAATTGATAAGCCTCCTCGACTAGTCCAGCTCGACCAAGAATGTCCACCATGCATCCATAGTGCTTTATGTTTGGTTGGATATGGTACTCATCAGTCATACAACGAAAATACCTCCTTCCCTCTTCTACCCGTCCTGCATGACTACAGGCGCACAAAACTCCCAAGAAAGTAACATCATTTGGCATTTCGAGTTTCTTATATAAAAATTTCGAGAAGAGCTCCAATGCTTCATGAGCATGACCATGCATAGCCAACCCTAGTATCATAGTGTTCCATGTTACTAAATTCCTCTCAAGCATATTGTGAAACACCTTGTAGGCTTCCTCCACTGCTCCACATTTTGCATACATATCAATCAATGAATTGCAAACCAAAACCAGCCCACTAAAGCCAGCATTATCAGCAAGTGAGTGCACCCATTTACCAAAACCCAAAACACCCAACGAAGAACATGCTGATAAAACAACCACCAATGTTGCCTCATCAAATGCTATGCCACTCCCATACATTTTTAAGAACAATTCAAGCGCTTCTTTGTATTTCCCACAATAAACATGACAATCAATGATTGTGTTCCAAGCTACTATTCCTGGTTCAGGCATTTCATCGAACAGTTCCTTAGCTATCGGAATTACCCTCAACATACCATACATATGAATCAGAGTGTTACTCACGTGGACATGATTCTCCAGCCCATGTTTAAGAACACTACAATGCATTTGCTTTCCTAATTTTACAGAACCCAATTGCCCACAAATTTTCAGCAAGAAAGAGAAGGTGAAATTATCTGCTATCTCACCATTTTCTAGCATTTTCTTGTAATATTTAAAGGTTTCATCAACTTGGTTTGTCCTCACTAACCCTCTAATCATTGTGTTCCAAAGGAATCCATCTGGGTTCTCAGTTTTGGCAAATACTTTCACAGCATAATCCATTGATCCATGAGCAGAAACTGCACAAAATCCTATGATCTTCCCTAATAAGTAGAGGTTTTGAGAGAGACCATTTATTATGACATTGGCATGGAGCTGTTTAACTTCTTTCATAGTGGAACATTTATTGAAAAGTGGAAGAAGGGATTTAGCCTTCGAGGTTTGATTCTTGATTGCCATGTCTGTAAATTTTGTTAGTGCATCATGCAATGAAGAAATTTGAGAGATTTTTGGGTCTAGGAACTCGTCCTATTTCTTAGTAGTTAGCGTTACAAGGGAAATCTTTTATGAAGCCATATTAATTTTTCTAATTATGTAGAGTTTTTTTTCTAGTCTAGCGTGTTGTATAACTTTTATATTAATTTACAATCTCACCATAAACATAAATAGAATATAATTGAAGAATTTAATATTGATAGATACGAATAATATTCGTTCAATTCATTTAATTGTATTATTTAATGATGTCTTGTCATATTTGTCTCATCTGTCATATAACTTTATATTAATTCTGACCCCAATGCTAACCGAAAAATTTGATAATATAATTGAAGAAATATTGTTCACATACGGACATTACACCATGAAAAGATAATGTATTTAATTCATGAATTTAAATTTAAAAAAAAATTAATGATATCATTCCTCTCAATAAAAATATATATTTTGGGTTTGACTTAATTGAGTTGAGCTACCATTTAGCGTGTCCAAATGGGAAATTCATAATTGTTTTTATTAATTTAATATGTTATCTTATTTCCTCTTTTAGTGGCCCTTTTTGGTCTAACAACGGAAATTACGGCACACGTACTTGTTTTGAATTTATAATAGTTCACCAATGGTCATCGTTTGGAATTTAATTGATTATCTTACATTTGACGAGAATTCGAGAAGTAGTTGCTGATAATACAAAAATACATATAAACGAAATTAGTTTTCCATTTTGATTTACAAGGTACATTTTTTTTAATAATATATTTTTAAAACAACAATATCCACCGTTAGACTCGACTCAAACAACAAACTTTATATATCATTTAAACGAAAAAAAAAAATAATCATAAAAAGGAATAGAAAGGTGGCTTCTTTCCTTTCATTAATAAAATAAGACTCAAAAATTTTGAAGTATGATAAAAATGTAGAATGTGAAATTCGTGAAGCTCATCCTTTTGGACGAATTATGGACCTCATGCTAGGAAGTAGGAAGTTAAGAGAGTGCGGTTCGAACATTAGAAGGAAGCTAAGGCAAGCAATTTGTACATGAATTATCCCCCTTCAAAAAGATATATTGACGACCTCTCTTAACTTTTATATCCTCATACCGGCTTTGGACATTAAGGGGGAAAGGAGAAGAATATTTAGGTTTAACCGAGTGAAGAAATTTGCTTTGGACAAGAAAGAGTCAATGCTGATAAAATACTTCTCTTAATGAATCTATCTATTGGACCGATTTATCCTAAAAAATTCGAGAATAAATCTCGATTGATGCATCATAATCACATTGACACTAGCTAATATGACATTATCCCATATTGATACTCAAGTTAGGCAACGCATGAAATAGTCAATAATTTTTCCATTTTAAAATATTTTTGAAGATATGTAAGTCTTAAGGTAAATCACGTACAGCTTCTAATAAGCTGACTCTGTATAACCAACCGTATCAGGCCACGTGTACATGCTCCTTTCCATGCTACATGTCCGAACAAAAGAGACAGGGCCCACATAGGCAGCACAACTTAACTCAGCTCTTGTTTGGCCCTCATTTTGTGATAATGAGAATGGTTGGAATAATATTTTTTTGAAAAATGAGTGGTTGAAAAAAAAGGAAAAGTTTTTTTTATTTACGTGATGTATTATTTTATAGAATATTGTGTGGTTGGAAATAGGAGAGAGAAAAATGAAATATAATAGAATGAAAATTAATGGGGGTCAAACGGGCTCAATATTATATGTCAACCCTTGAGTTAATTAACTTAACCATAGTCTAAATCTTTTATGTCTGACCAATGGGAATGTGCCACGTGGGGTTTAACGATTTGTTATTGGATATGGTGACAGTGTCGTTTTCTCCTTGTGCTAATAATTTGAGTGGCAGATTCGTAAGTTGACCGTATAACATAATTTTAAAATGTAATTATTCTAGCACTCCGGAGCATAATACAGTGGTGCAAAAAATAGGAATGAGATAGTCTCAACCTTATTGGCAGCTGAAGTGTGAGGGTTCGATTCCTGAGATATGAAATTGGACTCTTTGTGAGCACCAGTGTACGGACAAGCTCTTGTTCCCTGACCTGTTGAGACACATTCCGCGATTTACTTCCCTCATGATACTCCAGGGGTGGGCGGTGGAGCCCTCAAAGTTGGGGTTCAACCTTTAAAATGTAATTATTCAAAGATTATAAGTCGTTTAATATAAGTAAATTATATGACACGGGTCGCCCACAAAATTATCAAAGTTTTGGGTGGAGAAATTTTATCCGGAATGATCTATTGCATAGAAAATGGAAAATGAACACAATACCGATAGTGATTTTCATGAGTTGATCTGAGAACAATATTTGCAAGATGATAGTATAAGAAATGTGAGAAAAAAATTATTAAAACATTGTTATCTTGTAATAGCTTATCATAATCTCACTTGTCAAAGGTAGGTAACTCAACCAACTCAATTATTTAGTCAATCTGTAACTCATTTAATTTGAATGACGTGCTCTTCCACTATTCATACAATTTCCAGTTCGAGCAAGAGCGACTTTTAGATAAAATAAAGAAACTAGAAAAAAGATATGTTGTTAAGTTGGACTTACAAATCGTCTTTCGACTAGACATTATCTTGAGTATGTAGGGGTGGGTCCTCTAGGGGTACATGCTTTTGCGGTCTCTCATTGGTTGTTGACAAATCGTTTCAAAAGTGAGGAAGGAATTCCACATTTTTCGTTTTTTATTCATCTTCGGACGACCCATAAGACTTAATCTAACAAAGACCCATTCACACTCTATCCTGATTGTGTGTAATCATCTCGTGCCATATATACCGAACTTTTCTCGAGTGACGCGATAAAGAAGATATATATTGCACATGAGCCTTCTCTTAGTGTATATGAGATACTTACGAGTGAAAATATCTAGTGTTTAAGTATATGTTCGACCAATCAGAGAAAAATGATCGAATGAGCATAGTTCAACGCTTATTTGTGGACAAACCTAACGTCAGCTACATATAAAAATTAGAGAAAAACTCATCACCTCTAAAAGGTAATAATCTATACTAAAATCCTAAAAGCTTACTTGGAAAATAAGTTATTCAAAAGTAATTTAGTCCCAGTTTGACAAAGTTTTTGGAAATTATAAGTTGATGAATCCCATGAAATTTGTGGTTAAAAGTGAATAAAAATTGTGAGTCCAATAAAATGTATGATTAACAATGACGTTTAACTGACTCATAATCTCATAAAAGATTCATTGAATGTGGCTTCAAAAGATTTCAAATACGTTTGACTAAATTTAGAAGTTACTTTTTGTCGACTAGCTCTAACAATCTTCCAACAGATTACACGTGATGACTTATGACTTCAACCCTTGGATGTGATCCATGAAGAAATTAATATCTTGATCATAAATCTATATTAGATTTGAGATCAAAATGAAATAGACATATTTGGAGTTTATGCCGTGAGTGAAATGATGTATATTTTTGTCAAATACACGTTTCGCATTGAAAAATGCTACACATGAAAATTTAATTCTTTGTGGTTGTCCAATCTATAATTCTCTTTACTTATTCCTTTTCCAACTGGAAAGTAAAAAAGTTGACACTGTCGGTTTGACATTTGAAATAATTGGGATGCAATCTAATTTCAGGTATTTGGTGTAAGTCTTATCTTTTATTACATGCAGACAGCTGTTTTCTAATACAATAATTTTAGATCGAAAAGGTCGTTTTAGGTAAACATTCTTAGAAAATAATGCCCCTTGTATACTGAGCCTTACAACTCGGTGTACACTCCCCTCACATGAGGGGAGGGATCCACACCCATTTAATGCGCGGACCGCTCCCTCCATGTGAGGGGGCTGTACACCGAGATGTAAGGCTCGGTGTGCATGTAGTAGGGTCGTTCTTAGAATCCATTTGATAAAATTTTTGAAAAGTCAAAATCTGCTTTTCGATCTATTCAGATAATTTCTTAAAAGTGTTTTATTTTATTAAAAGAATTTAAGCTGAGCTAGGTGTACAAGACCCCAGCTCACAGATATCTTACAAAGGTTTCACACATGGGTGGGGTCGAAATTTTTTTTGTCATTTCTTATTACATCGGGTTCTGCAATAGATCAACCCTTTGTGAGACTTTTGATTTTCTTTTGCAAGAACAATTCTAATTGTTTAGAATTGTTCAAAGAAATTTTAGATGGAGTTGATCCAAACAAAAGCAGATACCCTACTGGACGGGCCCTTGCCATAAATAATGTAAAAACTAGTTTGTCGTCACAGAAATAGCCTTGAGAACTTGAATCCAGTTGATTAGTCATGTTTGCGTAGATGGCAAAGTGACACGAACCCATTTCTTTAACAACCTTCTCAATTTGACTCAATCTATTACACTTTGGACGCGATCGCCGCCCGATCAGTAAACCTCGTGACATATACTTTAGGATTGTTAAAGCATTGTTATATGGTTATTTGCGGATAACTATGAAATGAGGGCTGCTTTTGTAATAAACACGCTTATAATTGTGGTACGCATGTCAAAAGTGCCCATAACTATTGACATATTCTTCTGTCAATTTACATGCATTTTCAATGGTCTTTTAGATGAACTGAATTTCGTCAAATATAAAGAAAAATGGATTTATTCAACAATAATAAAAAGTGGCCAAGAAAAACATCCTAGATATAAATTTATACTTGGTAGATACTACTCGATAATAATGTATAGTATACTAGACAATTTGATAACGATAATGTTCCGACTATTTAGAACTTTTTTTTTCGCATGAACTCATTCCACGAGCGTGAAATACTGGACAATATTATTAAGTAAGATAAATTGTGTTTCTTTGTTTCTGTCTCATAACCATCGAATTCACGGCGTTTTGAACGTAGAGTAGGTAAGAGAAAGAAATTGAGTGGGTTGTAGAACCCACTTAGCATCCAAGGTGTCACGAATTGAGTGGTTCGATATTTGAGGTGTTGTGACTTGAATAGACAATTTATCATGTCGGCATATAAAATCATAATCCTAAAGTATTTCTTCCAATTCTGTATAAACCACCCGATACTACTTGGAATTGTTCAAAACAACCTCTCCACTATGATCATTACAATACACGAGATTTTCATCTATTTACGTTCTTTATTTTTGTTTAGTATTTTCGAGTTCAGTATAACAAACACGGCATCACTATTTAGGGCCTTGGATTTATTCAAAACAACCTCCTAAGTTACTTGCACATCACGGTTTTTTCAACCAAAGTACTTATAGCCTTGAATACATCATTATGTTTTTTCGTGAACTCACTCTCTCAGCTTTAAGGTCAGTTCCCATGGCTTTTGTCTCTCCTTTTCTCCATATTTTCCATTTTTTTCTCTCTTTCCCATAGCTTTTTTCTAGATCAGAATCTACCCACTTTAAAAGTAGATTATTTTCTGGATTTGGGATTATTTTCTATTGGTCTCTAGAGTTTTGAAAGTAGGAATTGTTTGGCTACAATCCACTGAATTTTTTAAGGTTTTGAAAAAGGTTGAGGCTTATATAAAGAAATCCCAATTTTCTGAATCAGAAATTTGTTAAGAAAAATGGAGAACAATCTTGGATTTGTCAAAGGGGATGATCAATTGGATTTGCCTGCTGGGTTTCGATTTCATCCCACAGACGAAGAATTAATTACTCATTATTTGTCGAAGAAAGTTGCTGATAGCAATTTCTCTGCTATAGCTATTGGAGAGGTGGATATGAACAAAATTGAGCCATGGGAATTGCCATGTAAGTTAATCTCGGACCTTTGTCTATTCTGATAAGTGATACCAGTCTTTTGACTCCTTTTATGTATTTATTATCACGTGTTTATTGGTCGAATGAAGGGAAAGCGAAAATCGGAGAAAAAGAGTGGTACTTTTTCTGTATGAGGGATAAGAAATATCCCTCTGGTCTGAGGACAAACCGGGCCACTTCTGCAGGATACTGGAAGGCCACAGGAAAGGATAGAGAAATTTTCCGAGGAAAAACTCTAGTTGGAATGAAGAAAACTTTGGTTTTTTACGAAGGGAGAGCCCCGAAAGGCCAAAAATCCAACTGGGTTGCCCATGAATACAGATTGGAAGGAAAAATCTCTGTTCTTAACCAGCCAAAATCAGTCAAGGTGAAATTCCCCTGTTTTTCCTCTGTTTTTTGAACTTGAATTTTATATAGATTTGAGTATGAAATTGACTTTGTTCTTATTCTTTTTTTGGGCAGAATGATTGGGTTATTTGCAGGGTATTTCACAAGACGACTGGCGGGAAAAAAGTGCACATATCTGGGCTAATGAGAATGAATTCTGTCCCTTCAACATTGCCACCACTAATGGATTATTCGCCGTACAATTGTACAACGAATCCCGATGTTTCAAAATCGAGTCACGTGCACTGCTTCTCCAATCCGATCCAAGAAGAGCTAGTCACTTGTTTCAGCGACTCCACTTTCACTTCGACTCCAACTCCTCTCGATACTTTTCCTCATACTTCAGTTCCCAACTCCTTTTCGTGGAAACAATTTTCTCCGATCCCGGGAGGAGTTCAGTTCCAGGACTCATTCCCATTGCAAGATTCCTCGTTTCTTCGAACATATCTCGGACATTATGGTCCAAACATGAATCAAAACTGCTGATATGAACACTGAAAACTCCTCTATTGTGTCAAATCATGAAGAAAAAGTCTCCATCAACTTGAGTTAGAGAAATTTCATGAAATTAAGGAAAAAAAATTGAGAATAATTAGAGCTTATGTACTGTTAACTGTAAAAATGAATGTGTGTATAGAATCATAAGTATTTTACTTCTATAAGTGAACTGAAGATTATTATGTAATAAAGTGAACTTAATTTTTGTTATATTTCGTTTCAGTTTCTGTTTAATTTTACCTTGTCACGGAATTATTAAATATTAACATAAAAAATTCATATCATGGTAATCCTTAATTTTGGTAAATGTCAATAAAGATCTTCTGTGGACACGTCAGCACATACAGTTTTGATAACAGTGAATTTTAGGTAGGATTGATCTTTCACATATTCGCCATGGATGAATATTCTCACATTTTCTTCACATCCAAACAATTTTCACAAGACAAAATTTGCGTAATTTTAAAAATAAAAAACAATAAAAAGAATAAAAGAAAACTGTTGGGCCCATACGCTTGCCTAGACCGACAAGGGTCACGTCCGTCCGTGCTCTGTTTTGGTCACTCGTCCTAACTTGACCAAAAATTATGGATCATATGAAATCCAATACGTCCATCTTAAATTCATGGTAACGCGTTCGTTCAATTGTGTTGAAATAATTTGAATCTTCAATGAAATAAATAATTTGTATTTACTCGCATAGGATGGCGCACAAAACGCATAAAAAATATATGTGTGTGTTTTACTATTTAATAATATTGATCCCATGTTCATTTACGTTGCTTAACATTTGAATTGACAATTATCTAACTTCACCTCTTCATTGGAGAATTGGCCACCAATTAAAATAGCTCAACTTAATTAATTCGTCAAGTGATATAACTCCTATAATATTCAATTTTACGTATCAAACATAACAACCAACGAACGTGCATAATACGAATGCACAAACAAATGGTATAGAAAAAGTTATCACACTTTGTTATATGATAAGGCGTGTTTATATCCTAAGCTCGTTAGTGTGTCGACTAACACTAGTTGAATTAAACCCACTCATTACTCTCCGTAAAGGGAAGAATTTTGAAAGGCAATTCTTCTTGCTATAAATATATCTTTCAACCTTATCTCTTTTGTTTGTAAGCAATTCGACGAGTTCAAACAATGAACAATATGTGGATTATGTGCATAGGACAATTGACTTATTAGAAGTGTACTAATGATTTGTCGCTAAAAAGGTGCAAAATAAGTTGGACTTATAGACTTTGAAGTGTTTCACATTCTCTAGGGGTATGAATTGGTATGTTCGGCATGATAGGACTTCTCAAGTAATGTGATCGTGCCAACCCATGATAGAGACATGTAAATATCTTAAGAGAATGATAGTTTAGGATGAATTGAAATATAGCTGCTATACCAAAATTAGGTGCAAAGAACCAACCAGACTGACCTAGTGGAATACGAATCTATTTTCATCTTTCTACATAACCAATCTTCTCATTTACGATCAACAGCTTCTGGAGTTCTTCTTGAACGAATATATTTCTATGGAAAAATAAAATATCTATCGAATCGTTGCAATTGATGTTCAATCCCGAAGAGAAGGAAAAGATCTTCGAAAAGGCGGTTTTTATGATCCGCCGAAGAATCAAACTTATTTAAATGTTCCTGCTATTCTATATTTCCTTGAAAATGGTTGGAACATACAACAGCCCCAGGTGGCAAAGAGCCGACATCAAGGTGCCAAACATTCCCGTCCATGTAATATATATATAATATATTATAACCTCCGTCCTTACTCGCTATCTGACTGTCAAAGAGAAGAGAGCAAGAGCTGACGATCTTTAAGACGAAAAATAGTCTGCATTATTGTTTGCTCAACCCAACCCGAATGGGTTAACTTCATAGCCCGGTCACTCTACTCTAACTGAGGCTTTCTACCTGATCATAGTTACGCAATTCCGATGCTAGGCCTCACTCCATTTAGATTGAGTTATATATGTGTGTGTGTGTGTGTATTCATATGTTTACATGTATATATACCCATACATATACACAGTCATGATCTCCTAAACATTGGTGTTTAATTTTTGCCAAACATCGAGTGACCTGACACATTGCAATAGGTGGTGAAAGATAATAACTAGTTTTAAAACTAATTACATAACCTATTGTAATATGCCACCTAAATATAGTGCTTAGTGTAAACTAAGCATTGGTGCTTAAAAGATCAAATTCGTACATATACATATATATAAAACTCTCCAAAAGAAAAGCAAATCAAGTCGACTCAAGATGAACAATTTTGAATCTCGAAACATACGACTACAACATATTAAGCTTCATTAATGATAAAATATAAAGACGAATATATATCAAGTGTTACATTTACTTAAATAAATTGCAAACATGCAAATCATTGTACAAATAACTGATTAACGGATAAAATTAAAAATATTCCAAAAACTGATCAAGACAAGTTTGCTCTCTCTTTGGTGCTCAAAGTTGCAAACAATTATCTCCTAGAATAGAATTGATTTCATTCATCTATAATTAGCAACCCATCATAGAGGAACCAACATAATTTCTACCTTTAACATCAAACCATTGCCTCGAACGTTAAAGCGGATTTTTTAACACAAAAGAGATCATTTGTAAGAAAATTGAGGGAGTAAAATAAGAACTTTCTTCTTGTGTAAATTTGCTTTATGAAATATTTTATATAACTTTTGAATGTGGCTATTTATATATAATGACTTTTTATAAAGCACCCCGACTTTGAAATAAAAGTAGGAATTTTATATGAAAACGTATAAGTATAAAATGGTACAACCAGTAGAAACTTGAAAGTCAAGTATAAAACTTCTTGAAAATTAAAACAAATAAATATTAAAATATAAAGAGAATTGGAGATTATTATCATGTAATAATTTAATGTATTAAATTTTGTTTTCCCTACGTTTTGTTAAAATCTGGATTTAGTGAGATTGATTGTCCTGAAATCAGTCAAGATATGAGTTTGTTCATCCTGCCATTATTTTATTTTATTTTTTCGCTTTACGTAGATTTTTTGCTATTTCTTTATATGTTATATACGAGGATCAAAATTAGGGTGAATTATGGGAATGATTTTATGTTATCTCGTCCAATTCCCAATTACATTTATACTCTATTTTATGAACATGCACAAACGAGTCCATAATTGGGATCGATTGGTTGAAAAATAAATTTGATAAAAAATGATTTTCAAATAAGTTGTGCCAAACAAGCCTATAGTTAGCTAGGAGTGAATTATAGATAGCATTGGTCTTTCCTATATTCACTCACATTTTGGTCATATCCAAATTAAAATTTCTCAGTAGACAAAATTTTCATAAAATCTATAAAAATTGTAAAAATAATTAAAAACAAAATTCGGCATTGGGCTTGGTCCACTCAACGAGTTACGTCCAACCTTGCATTGATCAACTCAACCTAACCTGACCAAAAAGGGTCGATGGATTCATTGTAGACTTATACCAACATCTATGCAAGTTCGTATAGAAATAATTTTAATATTCAACAGAATACATATTTTTAATTGTGGAATGGACCATTATACACATTGACATGGCAACTCGAAAAAGGACATGTCTTATTTTGTGTAATAATGTAATATAACCCCCAATACTTTGTTTTTATAAGAATTAAATTTTTAACATTTGAAGTGAGCATATCGAACCTAACTCTCCATTGAAAAATTGGCCACCAATCAAGATACCTACTAATACAATTCCTATAATAGGGTGAAAATAAATATTTTTATTAGATTTTGAATTCCATCAAGACAACGCACCTTTTTAAATTAGCACATGTTGTCTTGATTTTTAACGGGTTGAACAACGTTCACTCTTATATGTGTTAGATTGACTAATATCGTAGTATGTGAATGTAAAAGACTTTATTAGTTTTATTTTTTTTTATTGATTTTAAGCTGAATATTTATTTTTATATCAACAAAGACCGTCGATCCATCTACAGAAAACAACATGTATAATATGAAAATTGTCAGAAATGATATGATCGAAGAGATACCAAATATAATAAAACAGTATTTGGGAAAATATATTTATATTATTTGCGGAAGACAAATAGAAAACCAATACCTATTTCATGGGAGAAGGGAATTATCCAACTTAGCCAAAGAGTAGGTGCACAATGTATTAAAATTCTTTTATTTCACCAGATTTGGATCTTGTTTAGCTTATCTTTTAGACCTTTATATTAAAATTA